AAAATCTGATTTCTCCATGGAGCAATTCTTCTTGGAACTTTATTCTTTGTATTCTTTAATGTAAGTTGAGATCCTTGGCAAACTACATGACTCCAAGGGTTTCTGTTTCCAGAAAAGCTAGTGGTAAAGTACCTGAAAACAATACTTTTGTGGAAGTCATTCTCTCAGGCCTGTACTTAGTTAAGGGACTGATCCAGTATAGGAGCATAGACTTGGTCAGAATCTGTCTACTAAACCTTAAAAAAAAAAAAAAAAAAAAAAATCAAAGAATAGCAATTTGTGCATACTCTCCATAAAAATATATAAATTTAAAACTTTGTTAGAAATATTTCCTACATCCAGGATTAAGTTTCTGGTAATGCTTTGGGAAAATGCACCTCTCAAGCTAGTGTAATGGTCACATACATGTATTATGTGCCTGTCTTCCTCCTGATCCCACTTCCCATCTTTTCTAGCCTGTAAATACAGGTTTCCAGATGATTACAAACATTTGCACCTAAAGCTGTACTAGGCAAACTAAAACATATGATCATTACACATGGAAATACAAAACTCTGTAAGATCAAATACACCCATAATGAATACAAGTATTTGGAAGTGATGTACAACAGAAAGGCCAAGAGTCTCATGTGATTGATTATAAATGCCCAGGCTGATAGCAGGCCTTGATACAAGTGTGCCAGATTCCTGGCTCTAGCTCAACAGAAGTCATACCAAGTTGTCATCTTCTATAATATGGATGCTGTGGTTAAATTTGGGCATTTGACTCTAAGGCATACTGCCTTAGAGCCCAAAGACTAAGAGCATTTTTATAGCCCATTAAGTGATCTAAAAAATTGCAGGCAGATACTCAGATAAATTTGGGGATTTTGCAGGATATAAAATGCATCCAAGGCAGTTTGGGAACTTCCACAAAGTAGAGGATCCATCAGGAAAGTGTGCTGATGTGAGTCCAGATGACCGCACTGGAAGACATCCTAAGAGGGAAGATGATAGATGCAGCAAATATGTAAGTATGTGTGGCCAAGAAGTATAAATGCTCCTGAACTACAGCCCTGAAGGGACTGTGTTGAAACAAGTGTTAGTTACAGAGTATGCACTGACCTGAACTTTTCAGCAGTCTAGCCATGAATCTGAACAAAATGTTGATCTTATAGCAGAAAGAATATCCTATTATAATAGAATATAAGGAAATATATAGAATATAGATGTAAGGAAATAGATAGTGGGAAAATGCACAGTTGAATGACAGATTCCAGTCTAAGAAAAAGGAAGTCATGGCTAAGCTAGACTGTATAGTTTCCTGAGATCCCATCCAGTCTGAATTATCCTGTGACCCTGGAATTGTGTCATCAAAAACTGGGATGCACATCCACGAACCTGAAAGTTGGTAAATGTCAAGTATTGTTTTTCTTTTCCTTCTTTTCATTTTACAGAGAAAAAGATGCAAGAAGCTTATGTCTCATTTTGGAAACTGCCCCAAAGTTGTTGCTTTTGATGACTACGTAGAGACCTGCACTGAGGATATGTGCCACTGTGCAGTTAATTCTTCTCACTTTGATTTGGTTTCCAGCTGCATATGCAGCACTTTAAACCAGTACTCTCGAGATTGTGTCCTCAGGAAGGGTGACCCTGGGGAATGGAGAACCAAAGAACTTTGCTGTAAGTAACTGCTGCTCTGGAGATTTCTTTCAGGTTAGACGTATACACATGTATTCTGATCCCAGCAGAGCAAAGCTAGGAGCTATATTAACTACTGTGAATCAATCTGTAGAAGTACTTTCACAGAGACATTGTTAATAGAAAAGCTTCTACAAATTTAGCTTCATTTTGCTCCCGAAACTAGAACTATATCTTAATATTGTCCCCCTTGTCCTTATGGCTACATTTTTTCGAGTAATTTTTTGAATTTTTCTATGCACAGTTAACTCATGAATAACCTTCTTTTAAATGTTGACATCTAGTCCGAAGTCACTGAGAAGTCTAATGTGTTTGTCCTTAGCTTCTCCTGTGCTTTCATATTCAGTAATTGCAGCTATTGAGCAGAAAATCACTGTAAATCCAGAGGGAAGGCTACAGGTAGTTCTTCCAAACTGCTGGTGTAAATTGGGGTAGAAAATTAATGCCAGAATGACTTATGCTTCAGGCAAAAATGAACTATTATTACTCCATAAATTATTCCAGTGTCCTTTGCTTGTATCATGACTTCAGCCCAGCTAATCCTGAGCAAGTAAAATAATGTGAAATAACTCATATTTCCCAGGAGTACTGTTTTATCCAAAGATGAAGTAAAAGTAACCATAAAAAATTCCTTTAGAGGTTAAACAAGCATGACACATCTGGAAATTTTTAAAAACAAGGTATGGGGTAAAGGAGGAAGAAAGAGTTGGGGAGTGACACATTGATTTGAGAGCTCTTATAAATACACCATTAACATATGCCATTTTTCATTTTGTCTT